GGCCCATATTATTAGATAATGTTGTTTATTCAGGATCAGAAGATACAATACTTCAATGTAGGCACAATAGTTTTGGGTTTCATAACTGTGGACATGATGAGAATGTAGGTGTACATTGCCGCTCAGAATCAGGTAAAATTTATTTGCTAGTGTAATGACTCATCATGAATCTTTTAGTAACTATAAAAGACTTTGTTGATAATGTCACAGTGTGTGATACTGAACTTGATGACCAACTGTTGTCAGTAATGAGGTATAAACTTATAACCATTATTTGTTAATAATTATAGTTTATTTTTAGTACCAATGGTAGGTGTGAGCCTTACATTAAAAGAGACTCTAAAGCTGGAATTTGTGATGACTTTTATATTCCTGGTACTGATTATGTTTACACTTCAAATAGACGTCTTGGAGGCTCTCAATATCTTTTAAGGCAATTCTCGGAAAGACTGTATGAGTTTATTCCATTCATATCAGTCCACTGTCGTGATATTGCTATTAGAGTTCTGTGTACTCACTATTACTTACCCTGTGGTTTTAATGGTACCCTGCATGTTCCACTTCCTTTATGTCCTGATGTGTGTCGATACATGTCAGAAACATTGTGTCCTGATATTTGGTCGTACTTTGCTAATTTTCTTACCTCTAACCGAAATGATGAGGGAATCAAATTGCCATTATGTAACAATACTGATAAACTAATTGATTTTTTGAATCTCACTAGTGACTGTTGCTCTAATGGACATGTTTCACTACCACAACCAACTGTCACAAAAACCAAAGGTGAATGCATTCCTAAGATGTGACATCTGTTTATGGTTTAAGCACAATCAAAAAAGCAGAATAAATTAATTGCTAGTCTAAAGGTTAAGATATCAGTTATTTGGGACTTTTGACAAAATCAACCATGTGTTTGATTACATGTGGTAATGATAACCCACTGTATTTACCATAATTGTACAAGTTCTCATGTTCATTATTTCATACTTACTACAGGTAATGATGAAACTAGTACACTTGCTTCCTCAGTTATCCTGTCAGCAACACATACTACTCCCAGCACTGTAGTAGCACCAGAATTGACTGTATCTTCATCAATGGACATTCCTAGTGCTTCTTCATTTAGATTGACATCTGTTATAATTCCATTAGCAGTAACTTTCCCAATAGTTTTACTGGTAGTATTTATTGCAGTGTCATTTATTGTCTGTTTGACTAAGAGGAGAAGAAAAATAAAGGAAAAGAAGATAATACTGCATGAAACTCAACTTGTCCCGAGGCCTTCATTATGTAAGTAAAATTATTCATATTAAAAATTGTTGTAGATCTATATTATAGACTATATATAATGGCATGTCTTTTAGACCCATACATAATCATTTATCATTAGTTTACAAGTGTTTGCACACACAACTGATACCATCTTTAAACTTTGTCTTGTATGTATAGCTCCTGATAGCAGTAGAAACAACATTTATAATTCCAAGAAGCCAATTGATATCTCATTAACATACATGAATCAGTTATCAGGTCATATAATATCAGGATCATTCATTCAAATACAAGAAACTGTTGGACAAGGTTGAGCAACACTGATAAATGTATCAATTAATTTTTGCTTTTTGTAGGTGAATTTGGTATAGTGTATCGTGGTGTAATGACAAATAATACTCAATTGCCAAAAGCAGTATCTGTAAAAACATTAAAAGGTTAGTTAATCTTAATATACACATTGTATTTTAAACTACTAAATATACTTTATTGTAAAAGTTATTTCTGTTATATAATGCATATATATATAGTAAAACCCAATGACACTTGCATTTGAAATATAGCTTTACATTAACAGTCTTGCTATTTTAGTAGTTTTTATTTATTACTCTTCATTTAATACAAATGAATTTGTGTGTAACTGTATGAATTGTAAATTTTTGACCAAGCCTGAATTCAGTTTTAATCCAAATCAACTCAAACTAGATATACAACATCAAAAAATACATAAATATATATCAAATTATAAAAATAGAGAATTTTATCCTAGCCATATTTACAAAATTTAGCCCAAGACTCTGTACTCAGTACATGGTCTTCGCCAGATTTTTGAAAAAAAAGAAAAATTCATTTAAGAACTCCAATTTTGATCAAAACCACCTCAAACTAGATGTACAACATCAAAACACGTATGTATATTAGGAAAAAAATTAAGAAAGTAGTGAATTTAGTGCTAGCAGGCCAGATTATTGAGAAAATTTAAAAATTCATAAAAATCCTGTTTTGATTGGAATCAACTCAAAATAAATCTATAACATTGAAACATGGATGTGTATCAGAAATAATGGTGACTTCCTTCAAGCCGTTTTTTATGAAATACCATGGATCAGGGTTTTTTTATCAAGCTCTACTAAGCAAGCTGAATAGCTCACCTCATGAGCTGGCTAGAAGATGAGCACTATACTGGTAAACCCTGACTGTCACACTTCCATTTACTCGTGTACAGTGCTTGTATATATAATCATAATGTTACTGAGGTAGATAAGCATCTTCCCTGCATTTGTATCAAATAAGTATTTAGTACACTATTATAACAACTAAATTTTGATTAAAAATTCTGATTATATACATTCTGCTCATGCTAGCTTCAATTACACTTATGTAATTGTAATTGTAATTGAGCCTCTAATTGCAAAGATAATTGTAATTGACCCCAGGTCTGATTTGTCATTGTAATTTGTAAGATTATCTAATTGTGCAATAATTCATAATTTTACAATGCAAACTATAAATTCTATAGGTTTTTATAAAGAGAGTGATATTGATTCATTACTGGATGAGTGCATTATAATGATGTCATTTGATAATTTAAATGTATTACCACTGATTGGTGTGTGTCTTGATCTTGGACCAGCTCCATACATTATCATGCCTTTCATGTCAAGAGGAAGTTTATTGTCTTACCTCAAGAAAGAGAGACCTAATCTTACAGTAGCTGATACCAGTGAAGAGGATATTATACTGAATGTCAGGAAACAGTTACTCTCCATTTGTTTACAAGTTGCCAAAGGAATGTCTTACTTAGCTTCACAGAGGTTCATTCATCGTGATCTTGCTGCTAGAAATTGCATGTAAGTCTTTGTTGTTCTACTCCAAGTTTTAAACTTCAATTTTAATAAACACTTTCACTGTCATCTTAATTTCATTAGTAATTAATTGTGTAGAAATGATAGAGGGGGTTCTGTGAGCATGCATCATTGATTACTGATTTATGTACTTTATAGGATTGATGA